ATTCAATCAGAGCCAACTTAACAAATTAAAATACAGATGGGCCCCATCACTTATTTTTTATCTGCACAAGCACATTGTGATCTCTGTTTTTTAGAGTTCCTTCTACTTACAATTATGCTTCTTGCATGTGGTAGAAAATGGATTTTTGCAAAAGTCATTCCACTTGAATGTATTTAGAAAAAATGTTCATTATGATGAGTACTACATATGACACCAAAGCTCGGTGGAATAGGTTCTTGCATTAGTTGTAGTTTAAATTGTTTTCACTGTCTAATATGTTATAGTTTTATTTCTCCTTTGTGAGAAATAAACTGAACTCCACACAGGTAAACAACTGATGCTGTGGGCACACTAACTTCCACTGAATTTCAAAGTAGATATGTGTCCATCAAATCACATCCTTGTCAATGTACAGAGGGCTTTCACAGAATGTTGACTTAGAAATTCAAAGTTTCAGCAAGGTGAGGGTGCTGGAAATAGAATCATTCTGTATTTTAAACAATTGATTTTAGCCAAAGGGCTAGGCACATTCTCTTCATAAAATAATAGAATTCTGTTTAGGATTTTCTTTATCATTGAGAACATCTGGTTGACTGATAGATCTGAAGAGTGGATATCTCAGAGAAATCATGTCCTGCTTGTACACAGTTTTCCTTTGCTCTTTCATTTTTCATTCATAGTACTCTTTTTATTTTTTTCTTTATACTTTTTTTTGGATGCCTTCTGTTGGTGCAACTTGAAGTGTGGCAAAATTGGCTCTTGTTATCATTATTTTACTGTTAATATTGTTTTTATTCTATGATATAAGTTCACCTCTGTGACTGCTAATAGATTCTTTCTACACCCATCTACTGTTGTTCCATGGTACATTTGCCACTTTATATAATCTTAGATAACAAACTTTTCAAAACTTTTTAATAGTTTCATTATTTAAAACAGTTCTTAGATTTAAGTATACTTTCATCATATTCTTCCCATTGCCCAAGTCCTTCCATATCTTCTCCTCTTCCCCATGAACCCAAATTAAGTTATTTTCCAAAAAAATAAAGAAGCCTCCAATACCATTCAGAATCCCACAAACCAAGAAAACAAAACTAAACCATGCCAGAAAACAAAAGAACCCCACCAAACTGTAAGCAAATAAAAGTATACAAAACTGTATGCTTACGCTCAACATGAGGTCCATCTGGAGTGGTTGATATAACCACTATCATTCATATTTTTCTCTCCTAGCCAGTATATATTACAGTTCAGTAGTTAGCCTTTACCCTATTTTCTGGGTTTTCATTCATTCATTTGAATAATACATTTTGAATTTAAATTTACTTTTCATTACTCCATCACAATGAGACTATTTGCATCTGATTTGTCTTTATGAAACTGACTCTGTCAATTTAATATGTCATCGACTTTCTAATTATGGAATTAATGGTAGACATCATGCATGAGAAAAATAATATGTGAAACCTTAGTCCAACTGTTCTCTCAAGTTTATCTTTAACTGAGCATCACTAGTGTGGTTCATTGCAGACTAACAAAAGCATTCTTCACTACAGACTTTATAAATTTATCAAAAAAGTTCATTTAATATCCTAGAAATGTTATTTTGGAATAATATTGTGTCCACCTGTAGTATGACTTATATTTCCAAAGGACAGTAGTCACTCCTTTTGTATATTTTAACTATTATTAGTAACTGGATATTACATGTTTTATGACGCCAGTAAACAAATTTTCCAAGAAGAAAAGCAGCAGGTAAAATATTTGGTTTATTTTAATGTGGTTTTCTTCTCTGTTGGATACTCTTTAAAAATACATTGCAAACACATTATGAGGATTTAGTCACTTTCCCAGAAAGGTCCACTACAAGCAAGGAACCACCAGAAGACTTAAGAGTTATTTCAGTTAACAAATTCAGCTGTGATTAAAATAAAGATATTTTTCTTGGATTTTCGAGACAGGGTTTCTCTGTAGCTTTGGATCCTATCCTGGCACTTGCTCTGTAGACCAGGCTGGCCTTGAACTCAAAGATCTGTCTGCATCTGCCTCCCCAGTGCTGGGATTAAAGGCATGCACCACCAACGCTCAGATTAAAATAAAGATTTTAATATATAGTCTGATGTACTCCAATTATCAGTTGGGTCCACAATGTGGTTTCAACAAAAGCATTGTGATTCAATTTTGGCTTAGCTTTCTGACACCAAAACTGATCTTCTACTGTAGGACATATGTAATTTTCTGATAAAAGGGATTCATAAGCATAAATGTAAAGAGAATTGAGGAGAAGCCAGAGCCTGTTTGAAGCAGGAGCCCTGTGCAAGTCAGTGGACACAGATCAATGAGGATATCAGTTACTCAAAACTGTCGACGATGCATTGTGAGAGAAGTGATGATCTACAAAGAAAAGAGAGACAGAGACAGAGACAGCAGGGCTAGACAGACAGACAGAGAGGGAGCAACCACTCTGGAGGTACTTACCATGCAAGTGTGAAGACTGGAGCCCATAAAAACTGTGGGTGCTGTGCTCTATGTTTGCAGTCACATGCCAGGAAGTCAGAGATTGCCACATCTTTGTGGTTCATTGGCCACTGAATATAGGCAAATTTGTGAGATTAAGGCTAGTGAGGGAATCAAACAGGCAAGCAAGCAATAAAAAAAAACAACAGACACCAATCAAACAACTAGCAAAATCAAAGTATGAAGAACAGCTGTTGGGATGTGTTTCCTATACACACATACACACACTCAAATATAGACACACATAAAGACCAGTAAGCGTGAGAGAAAAGAAAGTAAATTCACTATTTTGAAAAGTGAAATATACCACTGAATAGACACCTAGATGTACATCATCAGTTGAAATAAATCACATTTTACATTGTGGAGATTTATTCCCCAGAAGAGGACGATTATTTTCATCTTTCTTCATGTTTTCATTCAGGAACTCAATGAAATTATTATGAAACAAAGTAAACTACCCCTTAATAATCACATATAAGGGAAACATTAGTGCTTAAGTTGGGCAAACAGAGCATGATGTTTTTGATTTCTTTTTCAATTCACTATAACATACATTCCAGTAGATCAATCAGAGAAAAAAATAAAAAAATCACATATACTAGTGAGTTATGCATGTATAGCTCTCAGCGATTATAGAATATTCATACACTTCATGATGACAAGATCAATTTAATCTTCAATATCCTGTCAGTGTTTGAAGCAAGAGTCCCTGGAGTACGTTGTAGGGAAGGTCACTGAGAAAAGAGGCTCCAATTGCTTTATTAAAATGGCAAGCAAAGTGGTCAATATTGCCAGACAAATGAGGATTTTAAGAAGCATTTAAACCTCTCCTGGAGTATACCCAGATGCTAGGGCACAGCCACAAATAGTTGATGTTCTGACTTCATTTCTTGACCCCTGAGAATACTTTCTATTCAATACACCTCTTACATTGCAAATGGCACAATGTTAATTTGTACCTGGATCCATTTACTTTTGGATTCTCCCTTTATCTCTCTCTTCTTTCTCTCAATCTCTCTCATAATTCTGTCTCAGTTTACATCAGGATAAAATATTAGTTTTTGTCTTTTAGTATTTTTGTATTAACTAATGTGTAATTTTCGTCATATAACCATTTCATAGAAAAGACAGGCAAAGTATCTTTCAAATCACTACACACAACCGAAGAAATATCAAACTTGCATATTTGCACTAAATGTTATAAGAAAAACCTAATTTTCCATCTAAAAGTTGGGAAATAATTCATGGTACATGTTTAAATCTAAATATAATTAGCCATACATGCTTTCTTCTCAAAATATTCAATTGTCATGAGGAAATTTTTCACCATAAAAACTTTATTGTTAGCATAGACACAACATTTGAAGAATGACATGATCCCAAACATCTAAGCATCTGTTGGCCCTTGTCATTCCAGATAGCCATCCTTTTTCCTATCAGCTTCCTTGTTTGCCATTCACCAAAAATAGAACTGCCACCTGTCCCTGCTTCTGTCCATATGGCTGTCTTGACTTCCTTATGTGGCATCTGCTTCCCTCAAAAAGAGTTGTATATATTTTAATACACATTTAAATTCACAAATGGGAAAATCTTCTGCTCTAAATATTTCAGAAAAAACCATCAGGGAATAAATATAAATGTAGAAGCCTTGCACCCAGTCTGAAGCTTTTAAATATGAAGGTTCTGGTAAATGGAAGTTTACAGTTTTAGTTTAGGAAAGATGCTGGTGGCTTGTCACTCAACAGGGCTGCATGGGTTGACTTGCCTGGGAGATGTATGACTGTGTCATTTCACTTTGCTAACATTGATATCGCTTCTGAAGTTTTTATCATGATAGTTAAGTGTAGAAGGCACAACCTTTGTTACATGTGAAGTGGAGGTTTCTTGCACAGGTTTCATGGACCCTCTCTTCCTATATATGAAGTGGTACTTCTGTATAACTCTTTTGAGCATCTTCTGCCTATGTAAAGCCAACCCCATCTTTTCATTTTCTTCAGTCAACTGCTCTTCTTTGAGCAAAACTTGTTTGAATATTTGAGGGCTTCTTTGCAGCCTGTTTCCCTTCTCTTTTCTATCACTCTTTTCCTCTCCTCTAATGAATTAATCTCTGTGTTACTCTACGTATTATTTTATATTCATTAACGATGCATTTTTCTCGATGTTTCTTTCTAATTTCCCACTAGAGACCAAATCTAGGGCAGCCACACACATTGTTAATTCCTGAATTTGTTTCCCAGTTACTTGCTCTGTATACATCATAGTCTTTATTATTTTTCCTTTGAGTTCATGAAATAAGATTGTCAGTGAAATGGAACCTAATTGTTCCATTTCTTTCTATACACCTATTCAATATGTGGTAGCTTCACTCTTGGTGAATCACCCTGTGCTATTTAGTTTTCATTGTCAACTTGAAAGAATGTAGAATCACTCGGGAATGTACCTCTGCGACTGCCTGGAAACGGCCGTTGGTGTAACTGCTATAACTTCTGTGGGAAGACCCATTTTAATTGTGAGTGTAACCTATGTTGTATAAATGAAGAAAACGTTATGAACAGCAGTACACATTGCTGTGTTCTACCAGATGTCAGTGCTACGGGTGAGCTGCCTCAAGCTCTTGGTGCCCTCATTTCCCACAACCACGGACTTCAGCCTGGAAATCTGAGGTAAAAGGAAACTTGTTTTGTCTGAAGTTTAGCCTAGTGTTTTATTATAGAAATAGACAAACAAACAAGTATCCTTTCCTCAGCACTTTGTTTCTTTACTGTTCTTATCAGCAAACACACCTGGGTTGCTTCTGACTGAACTATCAACACTCACCCTCCTCACGGACTGGTGGCCAGCCCATTCTTCATTACTCTACAAACCATTCGCACCCTTAACTTTCCTATCACAGGCTAAGGTTAATTCTGGTGGTGTTGTTGTGAGATAACCTGTGGTAAATTAAGTGAGCAAGAAAAGCTATTTTTGGTTTGAAGTTTCAGATGTTTCAGTCCACTTTAGAGGAAGTAGAGGACACACCAGAGAAGTTCGCGTCCTTGCAAACAGAATGTGGAAACGGGCTGGCTGACAGGTGTCAGAAGCATTCAAGGAGGACCTTCCTTTTGAGTGAGTAGAAGGCAGAAAAGCCTTTCATCACTCTCTCTGTCCCATCTTTTTCATGTAAAGCCGTCAATCGTGGTTAAGCATCAAATGGTTAGACTCTATCAGTGTTGACTATATTCTGACTCCCATTTCCCCTGGTGAATTTGCATCACCTTAGATATCTAAAGTACACTTGTAATTTTTCAAATCTGAAATAAAGTTATGCCCTAGTCTTCTCAAGTGTTAGAAGAAAAAAATGCCTATTTAATATTGGTTTCAAAAAAGAAAAATAGTCTTACAAACTAATAATGCAAAAACTAGAGAACTGCTTAGCAATCCCATATTAAAAAGATTTTTTTTGGCCTGTCAGTCTAATATCTTACATTCCTTCAATAAATACCTTGCCATGCATGAAGAACATGAATGCTAGATTTGGATTTATAATTGACCCACAATTTGCAAGAGGGGGGAAATTGCAACTGCTGTGTTTTTCAAATATTTTAAAATATTACTTAGAAATGTTATTAGTATGTGTCTGTGGAAAATTTTGAGATATTATCTGCTATAGTTCGAGTACTTGAACAGATTTAAGTAAATTATGTAGACTTTAAACAACTATGTGTTGTGAAACTTTATTTAAAATTTTATTTCACTAGTTTAAAATCCTTCTAAATTGTTAATCAAGAAATTTTGACACTACTTGTACCCAAAACTCAACATGGCCACACACTACAAATTCTCTGCCTTTCCCTTTTAGATGGAAAACCCATGGTTCTTTGTGATTGAAAATACTATGCTATCAATTTCCTCTTCCTGGAGCATTTTCAATCAGATCCTTGAGTAGCCCACTATGTTCTTGCAAGTTGTGTTCAAAGAACTTTTCAAGTGTTTCAAAGTTGATATTGTTTGTCAAACAGCCATCTCTCAGGAGACCATTGCTTTATTCTGCTTTAAGTCTTACAAGAAACATTGTCATCTACATGCTTACTGATTTTGTGATTGGTTTTCACTTGAATATCCCATGAGCTTATCTTCCAACACAACAGTACCTTATCTATCTTGACAACCATTCCTTGGCATGAAGAGTGTCATGAGACAGCACCTTCATGATATCTGTTAAAACAAGTGATACTTGCAGACCAGTGTGTTGAGTGAAGCCTTTTCCTTGCCATCTGCTTTGGTTTTTCCCCGCCAGTTGCCTGGGCTCTGCCACGTTGTAGTCCCCAAATAACATTTACTCCATAATTGTTAATCTAAGTATTTCTCTTACCAGAGAAAAGGGTCTGAACTTCTTGCCCCTATGGCAGCTACATGATGACTCCCTGTGTTTCTCCTTCCCAGAATCCTGCTCAACTCCTAGTCCCACCTATCTTACCTCCCTATTGGCCAACAGTGCTTTATTCAACAACCAATAAGAGACAGATTTACAGAATGACATCTCCCATCACCAGTGAATCATGTATAATTTTCCTTTTGAATCAGAGAGGGACAACCTGCTGTGTCTTGAGAACATTGTGTTGTTCTCTCAGATATCTTCCCAGAACTTCCTCCATTCAGTGAACTTATTTGGCTATCACCATCATACACAAGGAATAGTTCCCGTATTGAACTCATCAGATACAAGACAGTTTCTTGTTTAGATTTTTGTGAGAATAAATATGGAGACCCACATCTAGACAACATGCAGATATTGAGAGTCCCTGTAAAACTCAGTTCAAAATAAGTTGTCTCCATCAAATCCTTCCCTCTGGACCAGGGAACCCTCAAGATGAGGTGAACATATTAGAAGCTCCAGAAGGAATTAAGGAACAAAGGAAGCAAGGCACTATAAGACAACAGAACTGAGGTAGGTATGAAACCACAGAGACTTATGGCAGCTTCCATACAACCTACATACAGGGGTACTTGGTGGAACAAGTTTGTGTATTCTGTACATTCTCTTATAATAATTTCTCAGATATTAAAGGACTGCAGATGTCAGTATTTTTAATGTTCAACTCTGAAGTTGATTCACATTTTCAAATTATTTATTTATTTTATAAGACTATAGTAAAATTACATCATTTCAGCCATTTAACATCCTTTTTATTATTTTTGCATACTTCAACTTCCTCCATCTGTGTAATGTTACTTGCACATTTTTTTTAGGATTACCTTTTGTTTATTGGATAACCAGCTAGTGGCTAATCCCCAAGGAAGACTATTTCTATTGTTCTCAGTATTCCTTTATTGCATGTAGTTCTTTTTTTAAGGGTTGAGGTTGTTTTCTCTCATCTACTTTCCATGTTTAATATTTAACCCATGTTTAGCCAGTCTTGCTGTGAGACATTGTAAGAATCAGATGCTTTAAAGAACCATAACATATTAATATTTCTAGTTTTGAAAACCCTTAGGAAACAATAACTGCCATTTTCCAATTGTACAATTTCTCTTTATTTTGTAACCAGCACAGAACAGTGTGATGATAAGCCCCAAAGTGAGTTTGCAAACGAACAGTACAAACACTAACCACAAGTTTATCAAATTCTTGATATTGTTAGCACATCACAGAGAGCTAAGTATAAGAAGCATATGACATACAAATGTTCATAGTCAGCCACAAATTACCTTCCATAGGCCATCAACATGTGCACCTCAACCATTTATTTACTTAATTTTTTCAGTACACAAACATGGCTTAGTAACTTATTCATGCAACATATGAATAACTTATAACTGAAATATCTGATTGTTCCTGTTTGATTATTTTTTTCTACTAAAATACATCCACTGTAGTAAGAGGATAGATAATATGAACATGTTTCTTTAAATTTATGTTTCTCAATCACATAAATACATCTTTAACTTTTTCTCATTTTATGTTATTAAAATATCTTCCCTTCCTGCTTACATTTCTTCTACCTCTACCTTCCTTTCTTGATTCTTTTATTTCATTCCTTCTTCTCTCCTCTTTTCTCCTCTTCCCTTTTCTTTTATCAGCTCACCTTTCCTCTTCTTGTCTTCCATTTTCTCTTCTCCTTTTCACTCTTCTCTCCCCCTTTTCTATTTCTCACATATACAATATCATAGAAGAAATGGAATTATATAAATATATAAAGAGCAATTCCAAAATATCACATGCTGTAATGTAGATTTCAAATAGAATTTTCCCCATGAAAACTCTGTAAAAACTGTGCATAAAAGAATTACTATAAATGAACAATATGACTAATAAGAAAAGATATCATATAACTAAACCAAGTTCTCTAAAGAAAAAATGTGAAAGAGGAATGGAAGTTTATTTTCATTAATCCTTTACCTTTATATATATCTGCAGTTAACAATTTTTCTAACATAATGTCACTATGTAGTTCATATTTTTCTTGCTTTCTCTTACACAAGTACATTTTTCAAAGCTCCCAATGCCTCAGTAATTTATTTTCCTGGCATGATTTAATGAGAACTTTGAAAGTTGCCACTTAAAACACATGTCTGTCCTTTTAAATAAATAGAATTATTTGCTATATTTATACATGAGGCTTCCTGCCATATTATGACCTTTCAAAAAGAAACGTTATAGACTGTCTTATGGAAAATATGTGCTCATTTATTTTCTAGCATGTAGGCAAGTGTTAATACATGTTCCAAAACTGTTTGAGAGAATAATAAATACAGCAGCATAATATTTCCACTCATTAAACACTTTGTTAATTCACTGAAGTCAAATTGTTTCTATATACACCATCTATTGGAGATTAGAAAATAGTTTGAGAACAAAGAAGCAAAATTAAAATATATGTTATGAACCCTTTACCAGCTTATGGTATTTTATCTGAATATAACTTTCAGGATTTAGTTATTTAACTTTGAGAGGAATATCAATTGAAAGATAAATTAAGGATCACATAAATTAGTAATTGTGTTGATATATTGTTTATGATTTATTAAAGCCACTGGTTATCTACGTAGCAAAGCAGCTACACTATTTAACTACAGAAGACAAGCAGCGGAGGTACACACCTTTAGCCCCGAGATTCAGGATTACAAGGTAGACAGATCTCTGTTAGATGAAAGCCACACTGAGTTACATGAAATTGATCTAGTCCTAAAGACGACCTCAGTACTTGGAATGACACACCCTTAATCCCAACACTATAGAGGTAAAAAAGATAGGAGCAGGTTCTTCAGTTGTAAGTCTCAGGATTATTCTCCAGCTATACTGAGAAGAGACAGCACTCTGATGCTTGGTGAGAGCTCACGGCAACAGGATCAGCCCTTTCAACCTGAGATGGAATTAAGAATTAGTGTCTGGCTGCTTAGCCTTTCTGATCTTAAGGTTGAAAGCTGAACCCCAATATCTGCTACTGGGTCATTTATTTTTCCCCTCTCAACAAATTTTAGTCAAATCACAAGACTGTCTTTGTTCATTTTCTTGTTTGTTTTATACTGGCAGTTTACTTATAAATTCTTTTTAGAGTTTTCCATTCCAAATATTCCTAGAAAATCTTGACCAAGTTTGGCTATGGTTTTCTGTAAATTAACCAAAAAAAACCCAAAAAACAACAACAACAAAAAAACAAAAAAACAAGAACACAACAAAACCCTGCTATCAGTTAAACTGAATGATGTGATAGGAACTGTGTAATCATTTTAAAGATTAATGATAGAATTGCCTGAATTCCTCAACATAACCAAATATGTTTCTCAGAAAGCATAGTATCTCTCAAGTATTACTGACAGAGGGTCCTTGAAATCAGCCTCGGGGTTAGCTATTTTAGCATATTTAACTGCTGGAATAATTTTATCATTACGTTTCCTTTCCTTCCAAGAAGAGAAATTCATTGCATTTCAAAGCTCAAGTGCATTGACTGTTAAATGTGTTCCTTGAATTTGAAAATAGGGATTTAATGAAGAGGTGAATTTTGTTTCTGAGGATTGAAATTCTGTTCAGTATTAGACAGAAGGCACCTATGAAACAAAGTGCACTTTTAAAATAATTATAAATGTGTCATGCGTGAAAAACAATATGAGTTTGTCAGAACTAT